TGGCTGCTTTCTCCATGTCACAGAAAACAACCGTATCAGGTAAGCACCAAGGCCCAATCTAATGAATAAATGACTACTAATTTATTTATATCTTCCTTTTCCTCCAAAAGTTCAAAGCAACATAAATGTAATTTATTAGATTGTGTAGTTTTCATATCCAAAGTGCGGCAGATTCTTTGAATCCAAATACTTTAGACCAGGAGTGGGTTGCTGCCAGCATTACTGCCGGCTTTGAGTGCAAAAAAACCACCTCTGCTTTAAACCTTCACTCCAGTAGTGGGTTCCTACCAGTTTGGCCAAACTAGTAGTGGTTTGGCAGCCTGGGTCACTGGAACTGACAGCGACCCAGGCCTGCCATGCCCCCGAAACAGTTATCCGAGCAGCGTCATAAACACCGCCATCTTGTTTTTCTCTTCTGCAGCATGTGCAGAACAATGTTTATTGCACTGCACATGTGCACAAAGTGCAGACAAGTGAACCAGCAGTAGTGCCTACTGGAACACACCCTGCTTCATTCCCTTTATCCTATCCCCACAGCAACAACCTTGTTTGACTGGGCTAAAAGAGGTATTGGTTTTTGTAATATTTTTCCAAGACTCCATATTTGTATGGATGATGTGATTTTGTTTAGTAACTAAATAATTGAAAAACTTAGTGACATGTGTATCCCCCTCTTCATTTGATTATATGCATGATCAGATATTGAGCTCTCTAAGAAAAAACTTGTCCCCTGTTGCTCATTTCAACAAAAAAATCAGTGATCTTGAGTTAGCTGATTATTAATCTGCTTCACTTCCTGACAGGTTTGTTTGTTTGCTTGTTCAGTTTTTTTGGATGAACTATTTGCCTAACCATTTGAAAGCCAAGAACTCAAAAGCTCTTCTTCAAGTGGTCTTCATACTAATGAACAAAATCCATCACAGTAGGAACTTTCTCTTTCTTTGTTGATTGTAAATGGAACATTACACTAATTTATATCTTATCATTAGGTTTACTATTACTATGAGATAACATTTATGAGTCTTTTGAGACTCAGCTACAAGACAATATAAATACATAACATTACTTCCGGAAAACCAGAAAGTGTTATTAGTATCAGCTATTATTACTGTAACTATAAAAAGAAGCTCTGGAAAATGCATAGAAAGCTTTATTGTTATTAATATAATCCTAACTGACTGCACTGTTGTAAATAAATGTAACTTTTCTGTCCCTGTATTTCTTCCATGATTAAGACATGCATGTTTATTTTGAGGTATTATTGTATATTAGCTATTGGCAATTCCTAAGAACATATAGTAGATATTCTTCAACAATGCCAGAAACTTAATAGGGGAGCAAGAACATATTGGATATCTGTTCCCAATTTTCTTTGCAATCTTCCCAGTAGCTGAAGTACCACTCTACTTATCTTCTGTATTGAATGAGGATTTTCTTCCAAGACATTCCATGACATCATAGCAGCTAAATCAATGTGTGGGATAGCTTGAAAAATTTCCCTACTATCTGTCTACTGTGTTAATATTCCCTCTGTCCCTCATTTTCATCTTTCTCCATAGTCTGCCTTGTCTAATCAATGGTCCTGATGTTTCCACCAGAGATTGCTTCCTTCTCCCTTGCGTCTCAGACCGATAAGATCTCACAGGTTAGGTCTCCTCCGGATTCCATCTGCCAGCCAATGTCGGCTGGCGACTTCCCGGGGGAGAGCCTTCTCTGTTGCAGCTCCAGCCCTCTGGAATGACCTCCCCGTGGAGATCTGGACCCTTACTACCCTCCTGGCCTTCCGCAAAGCCACCAAGTCTTGGCTGCTCCAGCAGGCCGGGGGGCTTGTGAAACACCCAGCCCCACGGAAATTGTGAATGTTGCGCCTTTTTTTAAAGTGTTGTATTGTCTATTTATCCCCTTTCCCTTGTCTGTTGTGAGCCGCCCGGAGTCCTCCGGGAGTGGGCGGCATACAAGATAAATAAAATGAATGAAAATGAATGAATGAATTCACTATTTGCTACTGAGCCTTTGGTTTGACTGAGTTTTTGGGGAGGGGAGGTCCTTTGCTTACAATGTTTTTTTTTAAAAAAACCTCTGCCTCACACAAGTACACATAAAATGGAAACAGCACTTTTAAAATGTATGCATTTGGTGGAAGAATTGTATTTTTTAGATTCCAAGCATTGGAACTAGACAGAAATTATCTTTGCTGCAAGATGACAATGAGAAATCATGTGAGATATATCATGTGCCAATTTGGCATTTGCAGTTTGAAGGCAGGGGATTTGATGTAGGTTTTTTCCGTCACATTTTTTAAACATTCTTTTGAGTTTGAGGACCATCACTTAATTGGGACAGCATTACTGGAATCACATGTATGAGGAATTGGGAGTTATGAACTGCTATTAATTCTTACAGCCCTTTTTATCATGCTTTAAAAAAATATTTTTAAAGAATGCTCCTGCATGACAGAACAATATTAGATTAATATCCACACAGGGAATTAGGAAATTCACCTCTCAGTAATGTGATATAGAGTGATAATAAATTCTAGATGATTTCCAATTTAAGTTAATAATAGGTGGAAACAGCCAATGAATCATTCTTTAACCTCCAAATGTCCGTTTATGATTTGACTCAAAAAGATCCCTTTAATGAAGAGCTAATATTTGCTTCTAAATTTCATAGCTTAAATGCCACTTGAATGAGCAGTGAAGGGACAAGCACAAATGTATGGAGTTAATTTATTATTCCTTTTGCCTGAAGTCATTTGAACTTAAAAGAACCTCTTGAAGAGTTAAATTGGAAATGCCTGAAAAACATTAAAGCAAATAAAATGATGGTGGCTCTTTCCAACATATCTCTTCTGTAATCTATAAGCGAGTAATACTTTTAATAAAAACATTGAAACTCTCAGGGAGCATACAAGCTTTTGGGAATTTTCCATTGGGCAAGATGATTATTATGGTTCATCACAGTCAGCCAGCTATTCAGGTTGGATTTGGCACTTTTATCCACTTATTGAGTCCATTCCAAGGACCTGGGATAGGCAAATGTTGATGTTTGATGGTATTAAAGGTATAATCACAGGATATATATGATGTTCCAAATAAAGCTGCCTTTTGCAGGTGATTTTGTCAATGCTGATGGTGCTCCAGTTGTTGTGGTGTGATCCACTATTTCCTCAGCTTCTTTGCAGAAGCAGCACTTGCTGTCTGTTGCTGTTTTCTCAATTCTGGATTTGTATGCATTTACTCTTAAGGTTTGGTCTTGTGCAGCTAGAATACCTCTGACTCTTTCTCCAACTTTCCTGCTCTTAGCCATTGCCAGATTTTGTTATTATCAAATGATTATCATTATCATTATTGTTGTTGTTTTAAATATTTACCTGCTTTTAATGTTTGTAAGCCACCCAAAGTCATATAAAGGTGAGATGGGAAGCATACAAGTCTAATTAATAAAATTTGAAAATAAAATACGATGATATAGTAAATCTCAGGCTTCACTAAAATAAAGACTGATGTCTTTCTTTTCATTTCTGATTTAGCATGTTTCTCTTAAGCCATTTTTTGAGCCTTGCTTTTCAAAACTTGGTAGTAGAAAATTATTTTGTAGGGACCAAATTAATAAGTCTATTCATTGGTGACAAATGAATTTTAACTGCAGCTACTGTTTTTAATATTGAGTTTTCATTTTAACCTTATAAATAAACACTGACTTTTTGAACTTGTCTGTATTTTACCCACCTCATTTTGTGTGGGATTTTGTACAGTATGATGAAGTGATCTGGCAAATTGGAAAACTGCTTCATTCATTTTAATAGGCTTTAATAGAAAACCTATATAAAAATGGATTCTGAATTGTTTGTTCCTTTCAGATCAGTACTGTCGGTATCTCATCTGATTTCCCTATAAAGAATATGAAAGGTTGTGGGAGAGAAATTATTTACCTGACATTTGCCTAGTGAGTTGTAAGGTGCAGCCTGAGATTTTTAATAGAATAAAAACACACAAAAAAAAATCACAAAATGCTATTTTCTGTACTGCAGACAGTGTCAGCTTTGCTTTTCTCACCTTCTTCCATCTCATAAGCAGAATTGATTTACATGAAAATAAGGTATTTATTTCATAAAGGATTTTTTTTAGCTGCTGATGGCTGCCTTCCATGGCAAGCCACCTTAATAATTTCCATGACAACCAACTGTGACTGAGGAAAGGCAGAAACAATTTTAAGATGGAGCTTTTCAAAGCTGTGGGTTGCTGGAACGGACAAGCAATGAAGGTGCCAGGCTGCTATACAAATTTATCTGATACTGAGACATTTTGGAATCCAGAACATGCTTACAAATGGAGAAAGTTCAATAGTACATGATTATGGAAAGACCTGGTAAATTTGTGTTGCTGATCCATTTTACAGCCCTTGCAGTGAATCAAATCCATTTTAAAGAAGCATCACTAGGAATATGATGGCAAACAACACACTTTTAAAAAATATTCAGAATTTTTTTCTGGCTCAAACCAATACAATTGAATCCTTTTCAAATTTGCTGAGTTCTAACTAAGCTACTTCCTTTTGACTCCGTGAAATTAGAAAATTGGAGTTTCTGGATTTTGAGACAATTTGGAACAAAATAATCAAAGTCTGGTCCATTCCATCCCTTCCTTCTAACTTAGTCTCTCTCAAGAGGATACATTCTAGATAATGTTGGGATTACAACTCAGAATCTCCACCCTGCAACATGGAGCTCAATAGATTAGGGAAGCTGGTTCTATATCATTAAAGTGGTATGGATCATGCGTGTCAAGTCAGATTTTTTTATCTGTTTAAAACATCATGCCATTATGATAAACTTTGATTAGGAAAATAGAGGACATTTTATATGGAAATGTATTGTGGAAATCTCTCACAAGGATATCCATCCGAGGCTATATTAATATCAGTTACATTTTCATTCTGTTTCTGGTTATCCAGCCATACTACCCTTTACAATTTTATTTCATACATTTTATTTCTCTGAATTCATATAGAACAGCTTCTGTAGTTAGCAGAATGCCTGCTTGTCACCAGGGCACTGGGTCTTTCCAGAGTTCAGTGCTCTTTCCTAAAGCAGAGTATGTATAATACTTTTCATCAAAAGCTAATCCAAGGAATCTTCAGTGATGGTCAAATTATGTTCTTTAATGTATTGAAGCAGAACCTGGCCTCTCCTGTCAATGGTATTAAGCCAATACTTCAGACCTTCATATCCACCTTGACTTCCCCAGAATTCTGTATCTACATGCAAGGATTGTAAAAGCAGGTTTTGTAGGCATCCTGATTGGAGCATTGTTACAGCTGTCCGGGGAAACCTGAAAAGAATATAAATAGAGAAAGGGATTCCCCCCGAAACTTAACAGAATAACACCTGTACTTTATAAACATGTAGATTCACAACATTATTATATTTCTTGCAAAAGACATGATTTCAAGGGTGTTGACTAAAAACATATTTAATCTTAATGACATTCATAAATTATCAAGGATTATAATTCAATTCATGTAAAGAAAAGAGTTGTAGTTCATAAAACTATATGTCGCAGAAAATTTTGTGTCTTAAAGTCCGTAATCTTACATGTTTTTTGTATGCAGGTTTTCTTCTGGGAAGACAGATGTATAATTGCAGTAAACAATTACTGACTCGCTTAGGGTCCATAGAAGAGCACACCGCCATCGGCTGGTTAACTCTCTAAGGGCTCTCTCTCCATATTTTCAATTTTAAGTCTTGTATTCTTTTAATTATTTTTACTATAATACTCACATGTATCTTTTATGTTTGTATGTTTATTTGTACACCACCCAGAATTGCTCTATGAAAGAGATGGGTGGTTTCTAAATATGATAAATAAATAAATAAATAAATAAATAAATAAATAAATAAATAAATAAATAACCAGCATCATTGTGCTATCATTGTTTTCATTGCAACCAAATTTTGTCTCCTCCTGTTTAGCAGACAATGTGATTGGATTTAAGAACCTTCTCACCTAAATGACAAGAGGAAATCCAAAATGGTAATTTAAAAAATACTAACACATGAAACACAACTGAACATTTGATATCAAGTCAAGCTTGACTCAAAGAAAGCAACATGAAAAAAAACTTCAGACAAAAAGGCTTGTAAGTTATCTTTTCTCCCATTGATTAGTCTTCAATCTATATAGATTTGACTTTTTCTACAGATGAAAGGTTTTTAAACTGTATGAGTAGAGAGACCAGAATCCAATGGAGATTCACTCTGCAGATCCAAATGATTTTGTCCAGTTCCTCTCCCTTTATGCATTATGTTTGGAAGTTTGAGGGTCCCCATCAATACTAATTTCCAGGACATTGCAGGATATAATAGAAAGGAAAATTGATTAAAATCATCACTCGATTCCCTTCTGTTTGGAAATATTTAGAATTTGTACCCCATCAAACTGACCTTTTGTTAGCTCAGATACTCTATCATCCCTCTTACCCATCTATCCCTTGCAGAAGTCTGAAATTAAGTTTCGTTTCAGAGTGGAAAGGTCTTCCTGCATTGTCAATAAATACTAACTGAGAAGGCTTGCTTTTCCGCACCTGAAAGAAGGAAAAAAAGTCAACCTGGCAATTAACTGAGAACAGAGTAATGAAGTGAATGGACTAATACAATGTTTGACGAAATTTTGGAGTGTTTGCCTTGCTGCTCATCATATTTAGGGTTACTTATTCTACAACATTACAAGAAAAAGAAAATTCAAGAAAAATTAAACATACAACATAAGACCAATGGGAGGAAACCAGTGGTGGGTTCCAGATCCCGTTCCAACCGGGTCCAGCGGCGCCCACATGGACGCATACAATGCATGTGCACACACACGCAGTGCACGCATGCATCTTAGCACCTCCACAAGCCTCTGCAACACTCCAGCTGCTCAGCGGAGCATCGCACAGGTGCTGTACATGTCATGCCCATGTGCGGAAGTGCAGAAGACTTAAAAGACCGGTAAGGAGCTCGGGTGGGCAGGTAGGCCCTCCAGATCACCGTATCAGAACAGTATCCGGTGCTCCAGGCAAGCTCCTGTACCGAGGCGTACCACCTGCAACCCACCACTGGAGGAAACATGAAAAATAAATAACTAGAAAATGAGGGAGCCTTCTCTGAAAACAATGTTGATTTGGGGCTTCTGACTCAGAAATCTTCACAAGGCACTTCTGAGTTCAGTTTAGGATGTTCTTCTGTGAAAATTCCAGTTAAATCACTGAGGTTACAGTTTAAGTGATGGATGGATTTTCAAAACTATAGCTTGAGGAATCTCCTAAGGAATTGGATAAGCATAAGCAACAAAGTTGTAGAATAAGTTCCCCTTCCTTCCCTGGCAAGGTAGAAAACCTTTATTACCTAGGGAAGGAGCACCTTAAGTACTTCCCAGTTTATACCTTAGAGTTATACATATGCATAGTTGTTTATTAATTTCTTAGATCATGGGGCAAGCTCCCCACTTTATATTGTAGCTACTGTAATGAACAGTGGTGTGTGTATGTGTTTGTATATTGCTCACCCAGTTCCTTAGGAGAGCACTCAGGCTGGTCACTAGTTTTTAAAACTGATCACACACATACAAACACACACACAAACACACACACACACACACACACACACACACACACATGTAAGTTAAGTATTCTGTAAATCACTTAGCTTCAACAATAATTGGGCATACCAAAATATGGACCAAAAACAGTTCTGCAGGATTTCGGCATTTCTCATGGAGCAATTCCTGAACACAAGACTCAGAGTAATCTGGTTGGAAACCACAGCAGTATCGATCCAGACGATCATGGACCTGTGAAAAATATGGAAAGTAGAGGGGGATCAGAGTTTTATTTTAGTCATATCAGATAAAGAACTTTTCATTTTACACAAGGCAACTACAGTATTTGCTAATTGATAAGTGACAATACTAGGATAGTCTTTCTTGGACATTGTGTGATCAAGTAAGATAAAGACAGTGTGGTTTAGTAGATTGCACATTAGCTCAAATTCGAACCTAAATTTTAGTCTAGATTGCTAATTTTTAAATTACATCTGTTAATGAAGAATGTAAACATAATGGGTATAGGAATTACAAAGTTCAATATGGTACATGGATATACACAAGCTTCTATCATCAATGGGTCTCATTATTTAATAAAAGGCCGATTGCCTGATTGACAAGTAGAGATATGCATTCTCTCTTTTCAACAATTGTGAAAATATTGCATCCATTTAAGTTATAACCTTCTTTCCTAAAAGATTTCCTAGTTCTTTTCCTTGCTGCTGTATACAACATCAATATGTCTTTTTCTGACTCTGATATTATTCTTTTCTCTATATAAATTGCCTTTGAAATTTTGAATGTTTGTAAGGGTAACAACTTTGAATTCAGAGCCAGACAGGATGAGCCTTTGGAGGGATATCCATCCTCACTTGACTGCTGTACCTACTGGCATCTCCATTATGTTCATAGATGTTCATGGAGATCTGCAGAAGTGAGACTGCTGTACATGTAGGCTCCCCAAAAATACCTGCAAAGTGAATCCAATACCTTGAAGAACCATTTAAAGAATTCCATGAAGAAGTATTCAAGGACTTCCGGTTGATGTTGTGGCGAGAATTGCTGGAAAATAGTGGGTTCCACTGATCCTTCTGAAATCCAATTGATAACCGCTATCGGGAGATCCTACTCAGTGTTGGCAAACCTTTTTGGCACTAAGTGCCAAAACAGGAGCGCACACAAACATTTACGGCACTGAGTGTCAAAATGGCAAGCTGCCCCAGAAGGGCCGAGGAGAGCACAGCTCCTCACGCATGGAGACGCTGCCAAGAGCCTGGCTCACCGGCATGGGAGCGGGCTGATTGTTCCTGCCCTTCTCCCTGTGGCTGCTGCTCTTGAGGCAGCGGGACTGCGCAGGGGCTGAGCCAGATGAGAGGAATTCAGGGACAGCACACCAGCTGGGATGCAGTTGTGCTTCCTTGGCAGAAATGGCTGGAGGAGGGCTATGCGGAGGCCAGCTCTTCTGGGACACCTGAGCCAGCCAGGTGCTTCAGACCATGGATGCGTTGCAAGCTGGAGGGCTGGGGTTGCGCAAGAAGCTTGCTTGGGTGGGGAGGGAGGAAAGTCCCAGCCTACCCATCCTGTCAGACAGCTCTGCTCCCCTAGGACGCGACCTCCGGGATCCCATCGCCGCGTCTTTTGGCACGTGCACTTGTTGCTCTTCCTATTGCTGGGCTTTGCGTGCACCTGCGGACCAGAAACCAGAAGACCAAGTGGACAACATGCATGTGCATGCCAGAAATAGGAATATAATCTTCCTAGCACACACATGCTCATTAGGCAGCTGCTCTTCCGGTTTCTGGCATGCCCCCGCATGTGAAAACCAGCTGGCCAGCACCCTGAATCCAGAAGAGCAATGGGCAACAGCCCCACATGCCTGGAGAGGTGGATTTGCATGCCACTTCCAACACACATGCCATAGGTACACCATCACGGGGCTATTGGATTATGGATTATTGAAGGAATCTAGTGGGTTAATTTGAATTTGGACTATTAAGGTCCAAATCTAAACAGAACATTCTATGAGACAGAAGAAGAAAGGTGATTAAAAAAAAAGAGAAAAGAAGGAAAGTTAAATAAGACTTTAAAATTTGGATAATATAATGGGAAAACTATAACACTGTAAATTACTAAAGAATTTTAAAGAATATAAATTTAGGTGTTTTGGAAGTATAATTATGGGATTGATGAAATGTTATTAAGCAGGAGTTTTTAAATATTGAGATATTGGAACCATAGAAATATACTCATTATTATACAATTGTATCACAGTGGCCAGTTATTTCGCCGGATTTGGCATTGGTTACTAGTTGGGCCCCACCCAGGGGCCTA